GTTTTTCAGCAACCCTAAAATAAATAAAACTACACTCATCCTTGGGAATGACTGGATGCCTGGATGAGGGGGTACATGTTCATACTGGCCATTACATCTTAAGATCACAGACTTCAGTGGATGTTTCTGGACAACTGCAGGAGATTTGAATGAAGAGAGTGTATGAGGTCATAGATTGAGAATTCTCTGCCAAAAACCCGTCCTGGGTAAGACGTTAAACCACATCCATGTCCTGGGTAAGACGTTAAACCACATCCATGTCCTGGGTAAGACGTTAAACCACATCCATGTCCTGGGTAAGACGTTAAACCACATCCATGTCCTGGGTAAGACGATAAACCACATCCATGTCCTGGGTAAGACGATAAACCATGTTCAGCAGCAAGGTCTCTGATCAGGAGGTTTTGTGGAACGTGGAACCACCTCTTAATTGCTGGTGTTCCCAGGTCCACCCTGATCTGGAGTGGTAGCAAAAATATTACCAGAAACATATTTTTGACAAAACAAAATATTACCAGCAATAAAGAATTTTGTCGGCATTGAGTAGCCCATTGGGCTTGGTGTGCCGTGGGACAAAATAAACCAACCCAATCTAAACCAAAGAATATATATTCTGTTCATACGAATCTATCCTAAAAATTTTGTTGGCATTAAATAACCCATTGAGGTTGATATACCGTAAAACAAAATAAACCAAACTCTGCCAGATATTCAAGGGTTATATCTGCCATGTTGAAGGGAGCTGGAATATATGCAGCCTCCCCTGATTCAGAGCCTGACCTAAGGACTGTAATGCAAGAGTGTTAAAAATGTTGGTTCAACCATCTTTCCGAAATCTGACCAAATGTATAACAGAATTAATTTTAAAAGGGATTTTTGGTCAAACTAAGAATTTCTCGGTATCTCCAAAGTGATTCTTTTGACACTGAGACTTCGTGGAAAGAAGTTGGGTACCATGACATAGTTCTGATTTCTTAGAACCATGGATGATGTGAACTTGCATCATCAGAGGTACCTTTTGTACTTTGTGTCATCTTGGCCCTGGTCAGTTCTGTGCAAAGAACAAGAGCATGCCTGGTTCCTTGGGAGGTTTCAATTTGATCAAGTAATGCTTCAATTGTCTCACATGGTTCACCTAAATCTTGGACATTAACTGCTTCCCCTCACCCTGTACCTGAGATCCTACTGCACCAATTTCTTGGTCAAAGAAACGATGCATCCCCACCAGAAATGTCCAACTCATTCATGAACCTTCTCATTTTCAAGAAGCTGGCTATCTCTAAATTGATTGGTTGGTGGTTAGTGGCATAAGCACAGCATGTCTTATTTCTTGTGTCATATTAGAAGCTACTGTGTCAATGCACTTGGAAAGAAGTAAGAATGTTAAAATTTGGCTTATGCTGTGTATTGTCAGGTTATCTTATGTTTATGATCTGCTAGAAGCGTGGTCTTGCATACTTGTCACAGCTTGCATATGGTCAGTAATCAGTTAAACATTTATTTTGATTGGTTATCTATAATATTAACATGATAAAAGAGATATATATATATATATATATATATAAAAGGACTGAATGAACACAAAATGAAATCTTATTTTAGTTGCTGCGTCTCATCCTCTGATGGTCTTTATCAAGTCAAATCTAATGATTTTATCTCGCAACAAGTATTTATAAACAAAGCTAACAAAAGATTTTTACTTCTGTCTATAAATAATTGTTGCAGAATAGAATCCTTACATTATTTACCTTGATAAAGCCCCTCAAAGGATGGCATGTGTCAGCTAAGGTAAGTTTCTCTCTCTCTCTCTCTCTCTCTCTCTCTCTATATATATATATATATATATATATATATATATATATATATACACACACACACACTCACAAAACCTCTGTTCCACAATAAGTGACCAAATTTACATTATATAAAGAATGAAATGAGTCACTTATGGAATGAAGGTAATTTTTTTTTTTTTTTTTATTTTGGGGATATTTTAAAGTCATGTTTTCAGAAGCCAAACATCTAGTAAGAAAATCATTTCAGATTTTATTTCAGGCCATTTTCTGTACATGAAAACTCCAGTTGTACTTCCCTATAAATTATGGAATTCAAATAACTTACTGATTCTTAGGGCACAAATGGAATTGAAAATTTAATAACTCCATTTAAATGTTTTATTTTTGTGGATTCTAAATAAAATTGGTTAATTTTATCTTATTCGTGTTCAGTTCTCGTAGGAAAAAAAAAAAAAAATTTACAAAGGAAGCTGCTGAAGACCTACTATTGCACCTCTATTGAGAATGTGTATGGCATCACTGTTTGCTATACCAGAGCTGCCTGGCAGCAGACAAGAGTGCCCCTGCAAAGTAGGTATAGATATTGCCCAGAAAATAAATTGGCTACTTGCTGCCCCTCCTTGGAGTACATTTCCAAATTTTCGTTTGCAGCTGATCAGAAAACATGACGACACATCCCGAGTACCATTTGTTTAAATTGTTTTTGGGGCAATGTTTTTAGTTCTATTAGTTCAAGGACAAAGCTTTTATCCTTGTGCCCTGTGTAGAATGAACACTGCTGTATGCTGACAATTTTAGACATTATTATTTTTCTTCTCTGTGTGTGTGTGGGGGGGTAGAGGCTGCTGTCTAATTTCATTGTGTATTGCACAGTGACATAATAAATAAATAAATTTTGACTCCATGGGGGGCGACTTGAGTCTGAGGGGACTCTTTTATAAATACTACCCTCTCCCCAAACTTTTTATGCAAATTTTCCATACCAATTGATTCCAATTTAATGAATTTCTGCCTATTTAAATTTAAAAAAAAAAAAAAAAATTTTTTTTTTTTTTTTTTCTTTTTTTTTAAATTTAAAAAAAAATTTTTTATTTAAATTTATATATCTGTATATTTTTTAAAAAGATTATTGTTGACATAAATGTGTACGTTGATATTCAATGAATGAAAAAAAAAAATTATAAATAAAAAATAATTATAATCTTGAGTCATATTTCATACTGTTTAATTAAATTTGCTTATTTTTTTCCTCCTTTTTTTAACGCCATCTCCTTTTAGGATGCAGGCGATCATGGCTCTCCACAGATTTCTTTTTTTTTTTCTTTTTTCTGTGAAATGGCATGCATTCTTTTGAAAGATATTGGAGTGGTTTCCTCATTTCTTTCTCTATAATTTTGAATTCAATTTCCCTTCACCTTGTCTGGTTGCCACACAAACTTTAGAAATCCCTGTTTATCCTATTTAACCCATAGTTGGGGGCCAAGAAGTGCATTCATGCCTTTCCCAGGAGTATTTGTGCAAAAGTGAATGCAACAGGCTTGGCTGGAATTTGAACTCTGCTCGCCATTTTCACTTTCCTTGCTGATAACCACTACACTAAAAGCACATCTACATATTCTGTTATGAATTATTTAGAATGTCATATTGAGAAAAAGTCTTATCATTGAGTATTTTGACACAATGGGAACAGATTGATTTTGTTTTGTGTGTTTTTTGTTTTTTTTTCTTCTCAGCATCTGAAACTATATTAAGCCCCCCCCAGCCCCTCTGCATTATTAATATTACTTCCTTTTCTACTGCATTCTTTTTCAAGGCCTCTCAATTGCAGTGTCCTTATTGTTAATTTCACTTAAAGTTGTTTTCTGTTGCCATAGCAGGATATGACAACACAACTATGAAATTCAAACATTCTATCAATTGATACAAAATAAATGAGTAGAAAAGACAAGGATGATAAATGTAACTTTAGGTAAGCAAAAACAGCACTCTGCATTATTAATAGTAATTCCCTTTCAACTGCATTCTTTTTCAAGACCTCTCAATTGCAGTATTCTTATTGTTAATTTCACTCAGTTGTTTTCTGTTGCCATAGCAGGATATGACAACACAACTATCTAAATTCAAACACCCTATTGTTCAGGGATCAGTCACCTTCAGTGGCAGGATAAACATTTTGTACAGCAAATGAAGTCATATACAAAGCGATAAATGTTAACAAAATTGTTTTCTGTTGCCATAGCAGGATATGACAACACAACTATGAAATTCAAACATGCTATTATTCAGGGACTAGTGTCACCTTTAGTGGCAGGATAAACTTTTTGTACAGCAAATGAAGTAACATACAAAGTGATAAGGGTTAAAAGTACCAGTGATCATTAAAATCTTTACAGAAATATATAGCTATATTTAATGACCGTCAAGACCTGTACAGTCCTGTTGACAGTCAATTATAGACTGATAGTGAACCTGATAGACTAATGTTAAATAATTTTGATCCATGCTGAGTACTTCTTTTTTCATAGTCATGGCATATTAAGTAAATATGGGCATAAACAATTTTATTTACTCTATTCGTTCTTAACCTGTTGAACCCTGAAACCTGTTCCTTGTAGCCAATACTCCTTTCCTGGGCAAGGGCCCTCTTTGAGAGTGTCAAACCCAAAGCCATTCTAGAATTCTTAAAAGAAACAAAAAAAATATAAGAAGAAAATATAATAAAGACTTTGTTACAAAAATGCAACTAAAACCTATTTACATCCCCATCCTTATATAATAACGACTTATAAAAGAATTTATCTGCAAAATAGACACAAAATAAAAACGAATTTTAAAACTACCTGATTCGGCACAAGATGGCCCATGGGGTTGGTGTGCTGGTAACATAACCCTATGTAAATCTAATATATGCCTGGGCATTTGAGATAAATTTCACTTTCAAAACTTTGCATAACATTTAAGTAGAACAAGGCTATTAAGATGAACATCTTTGTAGAGGCCATTTGCTATGAATTGCTGCAGTAAAACATGTTAGGATGTTGAACCCTGACATCTGGTCCTTCTTGACAATATTCTCTCTCTAAACTTTTTGGTTATATTTCACTATTTCAGAACTGCTTTTATAACATATTAACAGTGAAGAATAGTAAATGACCAGTACAAAGTTTCTCGTATGAACAGGTTTGTTCAACTTGCATTTGAGTGATGCTCGTTGTGTGTGTCTGTCTCTCTTTTTTTCTTATTTCTTTTTTTCTTTTATCTTTTCTTTTTTTTTTTCTTTTATCTTTTCTTTCTTTTTTTTCTTTTTTTTTTCTTTTTTCTTTTTTCTTTCTTTCTTTCTATTTTTCTTTTTTTTTTTCTTTTTTCTTTTTTTTTTTTCTTTTTTTTTTTTCTTTTCTTTTTCTATCTTTTTTTTCTTTTTTTCTTTTTATCTTTTTTCTTTTCCTTTTTTTTTTTTTTTTATCTTTTCTCTTTTTTTTTTTTTTTTCTTTTTCTTTCTTTTTTTTTTTTTTTCTTTTTTCTTTTCTTTTTTTTTTTTCTTTTTCTCTTTTTTTTTCTTTTTCTCTTTCTCTCTTTCTTTTCTCTCCTCTTTTTTTTTTTTATCTTTTCTTTCTCCTTTTTTTTTCTTTTTTCTCTTTTCTCTTTTTCTTTTCTCATGAGTTCTTTTTTCTTTTCTTTCTTTTCTCTTTCTCTCTTTTCTCTTTCTCTCTTTTATCTTTCTCTCTTTTATCTTTCTCTCTTTTATCTTTCTTTAATATTCAATTCCTAAATTTGGAAACATTTTGCTTCCTGCTTCTAAGTATTTGACAATTTGGTAGAAGAATTTTAATGTTTGATTCCTTCATAATTATTTTACTGTTTTAGTGATGTTTAACTTGCACACTCAAATACACATGTTTGACTCACCTGCTGTATTAAAATGAGATTTTCTGCTCTAATAAAAAAGAATTTATTTTTCTCTTTTTGTGGTGCTATTTAACACCATGCTGAGGTCATTTGGACCTTCTATGATTATTAAATAAACAGTATAGGTTAAAATGAAGTAGCAGCCTCAAACGAGATTTGAACCCTCACCTTGGATCTTTGGGAGCCTGCCTGATACAGATAGTGCCTTACCTATTAGACCAGAAAGACCAATTAGCAGGTGAAATTTAAATTTAGTCATATAGTTGTATTTATTTGTATGGCCAATTTGCACAAAATGGGATTTATGGCCGAGTTTATATTGCGATCTCAGGTGTACATGCTTGGGAATGCCTCGGGCACTGTAACGACCCTGGACCCTCTCCCAAAGGAGATGTAAGGCATCTTTTACTTAGGATTCTTTCTATGCCATATTGTTTGTTTTACACTTACTAGAAATAAATGCAATAAATCTGTCTTAATTCCTTTAAGCAAACACTTATTATTATTATTATTATTACTAATACTACTACCTTTCTGTTGTATACACATATCCTTTGGGTTCCAACCAGAGATCTAAGGTTAGAAATGGCTTTATGACATTTTCCACTGATCATTTTTGTAAAAAAAAAAAACCCACTAAGATCAGACATTTTACATAGATAAAGCTCTTTGTAATGTGTGAGCTGTATTCGAGTACAATTTTTTTGTATTTCTTTAAGGGCATGGGCTACAAGGGATCCCATCAAGGAGTCTATTGGAACCTTTTCCGAGCACTCCAACTACAACTTTTGACATATATATTTCAAGATCCTTGCATTTTGATATTTTTTTTTTTTTTTTTTTTTTTTTTGAAGATCTTCAAAGATACATTACAATCTGCAGGGACTGCCATGTCAATAAGAAAGCAATAATAATAATGTTTAATGGATGTGGAACTAGAACAGTTTACCCCCAGTGAGCGAAATAAAGAGTTCAGTTCGACATTCCAACCACCTGAAGAAGGCCGGAGTGTACAATGGTCGAAATGTTGTAATAAATATGGTGGCAAAGATGAGGACAATAGTCCGAATAATGAAAATCAATTCAGTTTTTAATTAAAAAAATTTTTTCTTTTTTCTCAGATGGCATTAATTAAGTTTTAACCAATGGTAAAAAGAACTAACTCTGGTTAGTTCTGTACTAGACTCAACATTTAGAAATCTTTATGCAAGTTGTATTACCTTAGAAAAAAAAAAAAAAAAAATGATTACTCCACAAATGCATTTCAAGAGAAGGATGTTGTGATTCGATCAAAAAAGAAAAAAAAAATCACTCTAAAATTGCTAATTTTCTCTGCTTGTTTACAACCAATAGTAGTAGACATAATAGTCTTCCTGTTGCATTTCTTAGGCTATTATGAGATCATCTGGTACACACTCAACCCCCCACCCCATCTTTTGGACAGGAGTAGAGGTTTATCCTTTGTTTCCGGTTCCTTCTAAAACCTTTTCCTTCTCTTTCTCTTTTCATGGCCCATTGTGTCTTGGTGGCATTATCTCCTTGCTTAGAGATAAAAGTTGTCTGAAAGTCTTAGATGAAAAATTCTTTTCATGATTAATTTGGGATGCGATTTTTCTTAACGTTATTATTGCTTTTTGTCATTATCACAGTTCTTGTGATTGAATAGCTTCTGATTCATTAAATGGCGATCCAATTATATTGAATGCGAGTTTAAATCATGCCAAGTGGCTGTATTTAATAACCAGTCTCTTTTGGCACCACCTAAATGGTTAAAAATATCTTCTGGTTCATATAGGCAAAGTTGAAGTATATGAGAGGTTAATGCTTACCTGTTACTTTTGGCTACTAATATTTTTATATGCAACCAAAGTCCATAATAGTATATAAAATGTTGGTAAGGCGGAAGGTCTTTCATGTCATAAAATGTGCTACATGTTTTTTTATTATTATTATTAACTATTATTATTATTTTTATTATTTTTATTTTCTTTGACTTCTGGCGTTTACACATTTCTTTCCGGGTCCCGTCCAGGGACCTAAGGTTAGAAATGGCATCATGACACTTTACACTGACAAAAAAAAAAAAATTACATAGATAAAGCCCTTCGTAAAGTGTGGGCTGTACTTGTCAGAACAATTTTTTTTTTGTATCTCCTTGAGGCATGGACTTCCAGGAATCCCTTCAATTGGTCTACTGCAATCTTTTCCAACCAGTCCTAGGGCTCCAACTACAACAGGGATTGTTGATGTTCCCATATGCCACATTTTCGAGATTTCTATTTCAAGGTCCTTGTACTTTGACAACTTTTTGAATATCTTTAAAGATACATTGCAGTCAGCAGGGACTGCCATTACTACTACTACTATTATTATTACTACTACTACTACTACTATTATTATTATTATTATTATTATTATTATTATTACTATTACTACTACTATTATTATTATTACTACTACTATTACTACTATTATTATTATTATTACTACTACTACTATTATTATTATTGTTATTATTATTACTACTACTACTATTATTATTATTATTATTTTTTTAGGCCACTTTAACAGATGGGAAGGTATTCAACTCAAATTGGTAAAGTGAAAAATGTCAAAAATGAATAACAATGATTGTTGAAAAGTTATAATGAATTGTTCTTTGCAAAAATCGTCTCCATGATAATGCTGAAATAAATGTACCGTATATATTCATGTATCATGTGGCTTTTGAAGACCTAATTTTGAAGGTAATTTGACTACAGTAAATGGATATATAGTTCAGTGAACAGGGCCATCAGTCCATATGCTAATTTTATATCTCATGTATGTTACGAACCCCTTAAAAGTAGCTTTGAAATTAGGTCTTCAAAAGTCGCATGATACGCAAGTGTATACGGTAATAAAAATATGAAAACTTTAATTTCCAGAGCTGTGTATTTAAAATTGTAATTTTTTTTTTCTTCTTGAAGTGCCTTGCCATTGATAAATGTTAAAGACATTTACCGTAATTCAACTGAAAAAAAAAACAAAAATAAAAAAAACCCATCGGTTGTTTTTCAAGCTTTGAGATTACGTCTTTCTCAAAGTAATCAAATATTATACAGCTTCCAAAGCATTTGTATTATAGATAGGAGGCTTATCTTTCGGAGTCTGCATCAGGGTTAACAAATTGGGCTACAGGTAGTGAACTGGGCTTGGATTCAAAAACCTGAGCACTGATATAAATTTTCTCTTGACTTTTTTTTTTTTCTTATTGGTAGCCCAATCTTGCTATGTGAAATGTATTTTTCAAAAGTCATTCCCCTGTAGTGTATATATGTATGGTAAATATATTTGTTATACACTCATTTTATGAAATATTAATTTTTTTTTTTTTTTTCTTCTCCCCTTTCTCTCTCCAGTAGGTTATTACAGGATGTCCGTAAAATCTCTTTGCAATTTAAGAAATTTATTAGGATATCAAATGAACAGACAAATATATGGAAATTATTATAAAATGACGAGTAGATATTGAAGTATTTTTAACTAATTTAATCCACCTCTATATGGGTACCATTAGTTGCATGAAGTGCATCAAGACACGGTACTTAGGCATGGTGGAGTAATGGATAGGGGCTTGGATTGAGGAATCGGAGAGCCGAGTTTGAATTCCAGTTGAATCCATTACATTCACTTATGTGGTAATACCCTTGGGAAAGGTATGAATCCCTCCAGCTATGGGTAAATAGCAGGACAGACTGGGTTCTATAGCCTTGGATGGCAGCTGGTGTAGGAGAAGGAAAACTCTGAATTCAAACCTGCTCTTGGATGAGGGTGAATGGAGTCTCTCTTGGAGCCTTGGTTGGCAATCCATTTAGTGTTGGTGTCACGATAAAAACACCCTTGATAGCCCTAGCGAAGCATCAAGAATTCAGCTATTTGACAAGATTATGAACTACACCAATCAAAGTATTGGTGAGTTCAATCTTGGCTGAGGCCGCAAGAGATGTAGCATAGCCTCATCAATGGGTGCCATGACATCAGTGATCTTTTCCTTTATATCAGTGATGTCCTGTATCTTTGTTCGATACACAATGTCTTTAATATATAACCCCATAGAAAGAGGACCAGGGGGTGATATCTGTTGAAAGAGGTGACCGGTGAATTGTTCCCATGCCTTTCAATCTACTGGTCGGGAAATGTTAGGGTTTCATTTAACAGTACCTCTTTCATCAGCAGGATTCCTGAAATACACAAATGCAATGTGATTAAAAACATTGATAACTGTTGCGTATGTAGAAAAAATCTAATTAAGATATCTCATCAATTGCCTTTGTAATATATTTTTAAAATTGTAAAGAGACTCCATGGGCACTATATATATATATATATATATATATATATATATATATATATATATATATATATATATATATATATATATATATGTTACGGTTAGGACATTTATGTGACCCACTGTACATATGATTATACAGGTTGTCTGTAAAGTCTCTTTACAATTTAAAAAAAACAACTATTACCGAAGCAAATGAACAGAAAGATATGTGGAAATTGTTACAAAATGAGGAGTAGATACTGAAATTTGTTTTCTTTTTTTTTATTTTTTTTTATTTTTTTTATTTTTCTTTTTTTCTTTTTCTTTTTTTCTTTTTCTTTTTTTCTTTTTCTTTTTTTCTTTTTCTTTTTTCTTTTTCTTTTTTCTTTTTCTTTTTTCTTTTTCTTTTTTTCTTTTTCTTTTTTTCTTTTTTTTTTTTTTTTTTTTTCTTTTTTCTTTTTTTTTTTTTTCTTTTTTCTTTTCTTTTTTTTTTTCTTTTTTTTTTTTTTTTTTTTTTTTTTTTTTTTTTTTTTCTTTTTTTTTTTTCTTTTTTTTTTTTTCTTTTTTTTTCTTTTTTTTTTTTTCT